CATTGTTTTCGCTTTGATTCCGATTTTAACTGGTAAACTGGCATTTAACTGTTTTTCTGTTGCTGTTTGACAAACAAGGCAGACGGACTAAAGGGGCGGAAGGGGTTGTTTTCCAAGGAGCCCGAGTGAGACGACAAAACGGCGACGACTGCAATGAGATAGTGAACGTGAGCGAGGCATGACAGACTCCAGCTAAATGCCACAACCGAAATGGACACAAAAGACAGTCAGTCAGGCGAGGGGGGATAGTTGGTAGAAGGTAGATTCGGTAAATGGGGCTTGGTAAGGGGGGCTTCACAGGGAAGCAAATCAGGCAGTGAGCCAAACATGCGGAAAAGTCAGGACAGCGAAGCCAAAAGCAGGTTCTCTACCGTGATTCAAGCCGAAGTAATCCAGTATTATAATAATTTTTAAGAAATGAATTACTGATCAAAATAAAAGCGTAGTTTTTCAAATTTTAAAAAGCATTGAGAAAAAGGAATTTTTTGAGGTTAAAAAGACATAAATTCAGTTAAAATGGCGTTTCTAAAACAGGGATGTCAAATAGCTACATAAATTGTTTATACTAAAAATATTGTCTTAAACTTGATATTTTGTTAAATCTAAAAAAAGGGCTAGAATAAATAAAGGAAGTCAATGGAATGAGAAACTAAGAAAGTAAGAATTTAATAATAATATTAAATTATAAAACTCATATTGAAATTTTGAAAAATCTTTTAAATTCCAAAAAATAGTTAGAACAAATACGTACACACAAAAAAAAACATGTCACCGTAAAATCGATATGGCCATGTAAATCTTAGGTCATGGAAAACCCAGATCGTTTTTATATGACCTTTTCGACCAGATCAAATTTACCAGGCCTCATATCAAATTAAAATTTATCTTAAATAAGGTAAAATTGACCTACGTTTTATATGGATATTTTGTTGGGTGTACGAACTTCAATATGATTTTTCTATATTTGTGGATTATTTTTATGAAGGATCTTTGGTACATATTTCTAGCGACCACTATACCAGTTCCACTGTGCAACCCCTTCTGCTGACGGCGCTCCATCAACTGCATTTAGCTGTTCGCTTCGTTGGGCATGAGAAAAATGTCACCTCCACAGCCTCGGGTCCAAGGCACAAAGCCTGGGGAAAAGGGAATCGGGGTTTGGGGTTTTGGGACCGAGACAGGGACAATTGTCTGGTGCTGTCCGCTCGTCATTCCGGCATTCTGATGCCTTTTTTGGCCGGAGAGGAGAATATGTCTAGGCGAATATGTCTGTCGACACCTTTCGGTCGGGGCTTTTGTTGTTGCAGCTGCTGCCCCGAGATATTATGTTATTATGGCAATTATAGTTACACGACTTTGGCGGCATCTATGGCATTTTTGGCCCGACGACAGCTTGGCATGTCTGCAGTGCATACATACTCGTATATAAGTATGTATGCCCCGACTTCTATCCCAGATTCCCGCAGATAAGAGAAAGGCAGGCAGACTGCCTTGCAATTACAAACATTTTAATGCAATTAACACACACCTGAGACGGGCAGCCAAACGGGGAGGAGGAGGAGGAGGAGGCGGCGGAGGAGGAGGGCCATCTCATTTGCCTGGCTCTTTTGCAATCCGAAACTTCTCAGGCCGAAAAAAAATCAACAACTGCAACGAAATAAGCAACTTCAAAAGCCGAAAGGCGACATTCGGTGCGTGTGTCAGTTCCCTGGGCCAATCTCTTGATGACGCCGCCACCGCTGCAGTTACCTGGCTCCCTCCCCCTTATACCTCTCTCACACCCTTCACCACCTCATTTGTGAGGTTTTCATTATGCCCTTCAAAGGGGTATGCAAATGTGGCTACAGAGGTTGGCTGAAAACAGCTCTCAAGCTTATAAGAATCAAACAAGTGGCTTACTTAATTACTTACCAAAAAATATAAATGATAGTTAATTGAATAGTGATATTATAATAATGATAATATAGTGAATTGAATACCAAACTTAAATTTTCCATAATACTAAGTTCTTCATCGCCATTACTTATGGAACTCCAAGTATTTTAAATAAACAGACTCCAAAATGCGGAAAAGTGCAAAAAGTATGATATCGAGTTTACAAAAACATTTCATTTATGTATCAACTTTTGGTGTCAGAATCAAAAGTTACAAAAAAATAACAAATTCATAAATTTTACAAGAGAAACACTGCTTTTCTAATTTTTTATTTATTAAAAAAAAAATAAAAGAGCAAGTTTGGGTAAGCTAAGCACTTGATTAAACTTTTCTAAAATTTGAAATTCCTTTAAATCAAGGAACCAAAAAGACAAATTTTTTTATATTATTTCGTATTACCAACGATGATAAATACTCGAGATGCTAGTGTATCAGGACCTTCGGATTCGCTAAGTAATCTCCCCTCTCGATTTGCCGCTCCAGTTGTTATCAGTGGCTGTGGCAGAGCGGCAGATACAGATACTCAAAACGTTGTCGTCGGTCGCCGGCTTTTGTAGTTTGCCGCCTTGGGCTGCACTTACATGTGAAAGGTGGGAATGGACTCGAGGTGGATCAGTAGACCCGCAAAGGGAGGGGGAACGGGGACAGGGACAGGGAACTCCCCTTAATGCCATGTCCAGCAAATCGTTTTGACCATAACCCATAACCCCCTCCCAAACAGAAAACGAGCACAATCAGTTTGCGCTTCATTTCATCGGTTTAATATGCAACACAAAAAAATTGTTTGTCTTTATTATCGCAGGGGAAGAACAGGAGACACACACACATCCTGGTCCTTATATGCACACCCTTTTTTTCGCATCGGCTGCAACTGTCGCCAGCGGCATTCGATCCTCTGATCATCTGCGGCTTCCTTCGACTTCAGCTGCATTGTTTTGGTCCGCCTTTGGTCTCGGCTGTTGTTGGTTATTGGTCATCGGGTGTGGGGTGTATTCGTATCGATTCACGTCCACGTCAGAGCTCTGACGTCGCGACGTCAGCCAGACGTTCAATAATATTCAAATCACCAGCCGAAAAATAAAGCCACATTTTGCACCAAAAGCAATGCTAAGAAATTAAGGGTATAAGCAAGGCCAGGATGGGATACTCTTCTAAATCAAGAAATGAAAAGACAAATTAAAATGTATTAAATATTCTTAAAATAGCTAAAGCTATTTAGGATAATTGTAATAAAAATCAAATTTTCTTTTCTATTTTTTTTATTTTTTTCAGTTAAATTAATAAAATTTTTGATTTTTCTTTTTTTCTTAAATTCCAGTAGAGAATATGTCTTTATTTATAAGAAAGGTTTTATAATAAGATCCATTAAAAATTTTAGTTTTAAAAATGAAAGCTGATTAAATCCGAATAATATGTTTTTTTTGTTCAACACCTAAAACCATTAAAAACCTTCCAGCTTCTGCGAAGTAGGTTTATTTATATAGCACTTAGGTCAACATTTTATACCACTTCGCATTTTGCAGGCGTTATACCCGGCACATTAGCTTTTGGACGAAGTGTAGCGTATAGAAAGCAAAAGCAAAACGAGGCAATAATACATTTATGGAGCTATCGTCTAGACATTCGGCAATGCCGCCAGTGACGAAAGCATTTGGATATCGGAATCGCAGCGCGATAAAGTGGCACTGGGACCCCAGAACAAAGCCGCAAAAAATAAAGCGGCACAAAAAAGCGTTATCAATGTAATCAAATGATATTGATTATTCACTTCTGTCTGACTGCCCGACTACCTGCCTGCCAGCCTGCCCAATGCCAAATGTTAATGTTCTCCCGGTCTGCTTTCAGTCTGCCTGCCCCTGGCATTTGTGTAGAATTAATGGCAAATCATTTATAATCCGACAGACAAACAGTCGAAGCCACAAAGCTTCCACCTTGACCGTCGGCATCTGCAATGTACGTGAGTACAGTAGTGGTCAGATGAATAGCGCTGTTCTATAGTTTTCTTAGCCAACAACTTTTTACAGAGAAGTTTCTTATAAACTATTTAATGGTAATTTCATTATATATATTTATTTTTTCTATAAATATGATATTTTATTATTTGAGGCTTTATGTTCAAGAAATTATGTATAAAATAGTTTTACTAGGTACGTTTATATTAATAATATTTATTAATTTTAATATTACATTGAATCTTAAAACTTAAAGGAACATGTATAATAAGATCGATAATACTTATCAATGGTAACTAATAATGATTAAACATTTTAAATCTTATTGATATTTATTTAATTTATAATTTCAATAAGTGCTATCATATTGCCTTTAGCTGTATGTATTACGCAATCCGCTAAAGATTGGGCCAGGCCAAGGAGTGGGAACTAAGGAACTTAGTCAAGCGATTAGCTTCCGTTTCAGCGACTGGCTGTGGATGACTTGGCAGCCTTGATAGCCCAGGGATTTCACTAATCGGCGAGCGGGGGCACGAAGGTAGCCTGAATTTGTATTCTAGGTCATTAGGGGAGCAAAAGCACCAACAACAAGAGGGAGGGCACACAAAACCCATTCCAGAAATCCAGGAACCTGGCGGAAGAGGAGCCTTGGTGTCGCCGGGACTGGCAAAGGCATGCCAGGGAATATGTTTAATTTATTATTAATGGACGAACCCACCTTCCTCTTACGCACGCTTTTTTTGATGAATTATTTTGTGTGATGCTTTCAGACGTTCCTGGAAAATACCTTACTCCCAAAAAAAGCAGCATCTGAATTAAATTAAATTAAACACAGACCCAGCGTACAGGAAATGGAAAAGTTATTTAACAGGATAGACAGTGCTGCCATTTTGTCTCTTTTGCGGGTATATCTGTCCTTCTTAAAGAAGGATGTCTGTTGATTTTAATTTTTCAATTGTTTCTGGGTTGTTATAATATTTCTACAACACAACGTTTAAATAGCATTTAATTACACTTGCACTCAGTGGGAAGGATTTAGGATTGGGATTTTTAGGATTAGTGTCTTAGCAGCTAAATCGATTTATTCGGAGAAAGAATATGACTTAGTTACTCTTATGATATCCTAATATAAATTTTAATTGAGGCTCGCGATATGTTCTTAGTAGTCCATTCGGTGAAAATCGCATAGGCTCCGTTTGGTATTGGTATGAATCGTCCAAATTCCGCTTCCAAATTACCGGTAAACAATTTATTAACTATGATATCGTGCTAAACAAAATTATTATGTGATGATTTAAAATGTTTTAGTGTCAAAATAACGCTTACGTTATAGGGACAGGTGTGATTCATATTGGAGCTACTTTGGAATGTTCTATAAAACGTTCGAGCGACTATATTTTTCTGTTGCTTCAAAAATTTGCAGGCATCGTAGGACAGATCGAGAAAAAATGGCTTGTAACCATTATCAAAACGCCTAAACTTCACATGGACCTTAAACAAAATAATAAAAGTAATGTATTATAAGATATGTACGTTAATAAGGTCAAAGCTTACCCAACTTTCAACAATGGGCAACTCATTTAATTTGGTATAGATGTTGATATACTTATGAGTTCGGTTAACTGCCTTAATTTGACACGTGGGAAAGCTTAAGTAGTCCAAATTATACGAACTGCAATTCAGGTTGGTAAATGTCACGTGGCCAATGCACATCTGGATAACAAAGTAATTCTTTCACATTCGGTTTTAATAATCTCTTTTGATTACCATTGGCAGAGTCAACCATAAATTAGCCAGCATCAACTTCAGCATCTCGATTGGAACTGTTTTCGATCATAGGTTGATTCATTTTATAACCAAATAGGTCATTAATTCGACTAAAAACCGTGAACGTTTGTTTTGTTCTATTTTGATTTCTTAATTGCCTTAAATGTTCGGTTTTAGAGTATACTTTTAATTTTTTTTGCATCCATTACTTATTACACCCTACACGTGTAAGATGTCAGCCATTCCAGTGTTTAACCGGTTCGTTATCTCACGAATAATTAAGAAAGTCAGACTTTTAAGTTTATTCGAATAATTTTTTTCATTGCTACTCAAATAATACGTAACATTTATACTCAAGAAGTGAATTTCAGAAATCGGATTTACTGTACAATTATGGCATTATACAATCATTGCTCCAATTAAAATCAGGCTTTTTTTTAAGTAATCATTTTAATACATGTAAGATAAATACATATTTTTTTAAAATTACCATTTTGAAAATTTCAGCTTAGGGGTTTTTCTCTCACATAGAAAAAACAAAGCTCTGGAAAAACAGGATGAAACCACTTTTAAAAGCCGAAACCAGTTGGGTAAAAGGTTTTAATACTTTAAAATGTTTCGACCTTGACTTGGCATCTTCGTGCACGAATTAGCCATTATTTTCAATAGTTTAGTTCTGTCTTCCCGTTACTCTGATGTACAAATTTATAAATGCGCGAACAACATTATATGCAGACCATTCGGTGTATATCGCATAATCGCCATTTATCATAGGAATGTATTTCAATCTATCGGCTTCAATATTTCCTGTCCACAAATGATCCACAATAAGGTCGTGCTTGGGAATATTGTTTGTTAGTAACGTAAAGATGGTTTAGCCATGATTTACTTACATTGTACGGACATGTGTGATTGATGTTGGAACTATTCTTGTAAATTCCATAAAACGCTCTTGCAATCGGATGCTTCTGATTCTTAAGGAACTTACAGCCATCAAAGGTAATGTCTACGAAAAATGGCTTATAGCCATGATCATGACGCATTAACTTTACTTTAACCTGTAAACGCCAGCTACTCCAATAAGAAATTTTCCTATTTATTTTTCCGAACTTACTGTGACATTATCCACTGGTATTTGATACAGATTGATATAAAGATCAACGTACTTATGAGTACGGTTCACAGCTTTGATGTAACATTTTTTAAAGTTGCTAAACTTAGTGTCCTTTGTGCCGCACTTTAGATTGGTGAACGTCACATGACTGAAGATCACCTGAAGGAGGTTAAAACTGGTTTATTTACCTTCATTAAAATCTTCTCTGGGCTTTACCGTAATAGATCCGAGAATCATTAGTACATATAAAATTATTTGCATGATGATCTTCGTCAGTGAATATAAAGCTAATAATATTTGTATTTTGGCTGAATTGTTTAAGCCAATATGGCCTCACATAATGATCTGGACAATTACCTATTGCAGATATAATTATGGATCGAAGCTTATTTAGCTACCGATATATTATGATAATATCAGTTCACTGACAAAAAATTTTTTGAATCTATTTACGGTTAAATCGAATAAATAAATGTTTTTAAAGGTTTGCAAAATATGAAATCGTTGTATGGTATGACAATCTAATCTGGGGACAAATAATTTATAAAATGTTTTCTTTGTTCCAAAAAATATTATCATAAACAAAATAAATATTTTTTAAATTGGTAAGTAAAGTAAGCGGTATGTGACAGTCGTGCAATCCTTTTTTTTGGCCTTATATTGATTTAAAAAGGAGAAACATTTTTAGTACATTATATGTACTTTTTACAGGAAAATATAATAATTTTTCGCCACAAGATTTAATTTCAAACAGTTTTTGGACTCATGTAAATAATAAATACTTGATTTTGTAACCCCTTTTATTTTATATCCTTTTTTGGTTTTCTATTCTAGTCTTATGTATATATTTATAAACGCTCGAGCAATATTATATGCAGACCATTCGGAAAAGATGGCATAATCGCCCTTTTGTATGGGGATGTATTTTATAAGATCCGCTTCAAAATTTCCAGTCCAAAAGTGATCCACAATTAGGTCGTGCTTGATTATTTTTTTAAATTATTTTTTTTAGTTAGCTTTTAATAGAGATACCTACATTGTATGGGCAGGAATGATTAAGGTTGGAGCTACTCTTGTACAGATCAAAAAACAATTTCGCCAGCGGTTGCCGTTGATTTTTAAGGAATTTGCAAGCGTCAACGGTGACATCTACGAAAAATGGTTTATAGCCATGATCGTTTCGCATGAATTTCACATTAACCTGCAAATAGTAAGCAACTCCAAGCTCAAGATGTTACTCATAATTGTTTAAAACTTACTGTGACATTATCTACATTCTTTTCATACAGATTTACATACACATCGATGTACTTATGTGTACGGTTGACCGCTTTTATGTAACATTTTTCAAAGCTAGCAAACTTTACGTCCTTTGAGCGGCACTTTATATTTGTGAACGTCACGTGGGTGAGGATCGTCTGATCATAAAAATAGGTAAACTTAACAGTACTTTAATATCCTAATAGTTTTACCGTTAGAGATCCCAAAATAGTTAGTACAAGTAGGCACATTCGCATGGTGATCTTTTCCAGATGGACTCAAAGCGAACAATATTCTCATTTGGTTGAGTGGCTTTCACTACCAACATTAATGTAGACATATTTATGAAACAAAGCGTTTTTTGTAAACGATATATTACGATTTTATCAGTTCACTGACAAAAAATGCAAGCAAGTATTCAGTTTTTTTGCGAAATAGGGTTAAGTTGCCCATTTGGGGGGAAGACTTCTATATTTGGAGTTTGAACTTTTTTAGTTGTAGCTTTATTTAGCTTAATTAATTTATTTAAAATTCGTACTAAGTACTAAGTATCCTACTCTTTTGTACTATTTATGATTTTCTGATACTCGTATGTATATATTAATAAACGCACGAACAATGTTATTTGAAAACCATTCAGTAAAGATTGCATAATCGCCATTTATTATGGGGATGTAATTCAGCAGATCCCCTTCAATATTTCCAGTCCAAAAATGATCCACAATGAGGTCGTGCTTAATTATTTGGCTTGTAAGATAGCATCAATAAATTTGTAATCGAGTTACTTACATTATAGGGGCAGGTGTGGTTAATGTTGGAACTATTCTTGTAGATATTATAGAACAATCGAACAACCGGTTGGCGTTGATTTTTAAGGAATCTGCAGGCATCGAAGGTGATATCTACGAAGAACGGTTTATAGCCATGATCGTATCGCATAAATTTCGCAATAATCTGCAAATTGATAGCAACTCCAAGCTTAAGGTTTTTCTGAACTTTTTTATACTTACTGTGACATTATTTACTGGGGTTTTAAACAGATTCATATGAATATCCATGTACTTATGAGAACGGTTCACCGCTTTGATGTGGCATTTTTCAAAGTTACTAAAGCTTTTATCTTTTGTGCCACACTTCAGATTGGTGAACGTAACATGGCTAAGGATCGTCTAGGATACAAAAACATTTTTACTTTACTCCACTTTAATCTCCTCATAGTTTTACCGTTGAATATCCGAAAATAGTTAACAAATGGAGAAACACTCGCATGGTGATCTGTCCCAGTTTGATTGAAAACTAACAATATAGAACATTTGGTTAAATGATTTATGCAAACGAGTTTTTGAGTAACGATCAAGCACATTAACAATTGTACAGATCAATATGCAAAAATTTAATAAGATCTTGTCTGTTTAGTCACATAAAATGGAAACAAATGTATTTTAAAACGTTTACAGTAAAAAAGTTATTCCTAGTAAAAACATTTGATAAATATGATTTTAAAGAGCACAAACTAGAAGGATCTACATATGTATCTAGCTACAATAATAGTGTATAATAATAAATTAATAGTTGGAACAGCAATTTTATAAAAATTATTTTAAGACGACTTAAACGACTATCTACGTATCCTCTCATAATATTTTTCAGTTTGTTATTTTAAAGTAAATATTTACGAATAAACGGGGAATATTCGAAGAGTACCACGTCGAATACATGGCGTAGTCTCCGTTCGGTACGGGCATATATCGTAAGAAGGCAATTTCCAGATTGCCGGTCCAAAATTTGGTAATCGAAATGTCATGCTAAATTCACAATAGTTTTATTAGGGTACCAAAATTAAAGATATACTCACATTATAGGGACAGGTGTGATTTAAATTTGAAGCATTAATGAACGTTGAATGTAATTCTTTTAAAAATATCATTGATCGGACGTTCGGATTCCTCATATATTTGCAAAAATCGTACTTCATGCTCATAAAAAATGGTCTGTATCCATTCCCGTATCGCATCGGTTCTAATTTGATCTGCAAAATATTAAATTTCTTAAGCAGTTCGGTATGAAATATACAACACATACCATAATGTTATTAATGGGTAGAATATTAAGCTTTATCTCTACATCTATATACTTATGTGTTCGATTTACAGCCTTGATACGACAGATGTCAAATTTTCCAAACTTCCTGTCAAACATTTCACACTTCAGATTGGTAAAGCTCACATGACCTAAAGAACACTTTAATATGAAAATCAGGCTAGGGTTAAACTTTTACAACAAACAATAGCTTACTGTCGCCAAGCAGACTAAAATCACATTGATCATCCGCATCTTTTGGTGCTTACGTTCCTTCCGGAACTAAAACTTTCCAAATTTTAGCTTTTACTGTTGTTATCCATTCGAAATTTATGGCACTTGAACACGCTAATGATTTTGCTTTTATTAGCTTGTGATAACAATCAATAATGCAATCTAAACCAAGTATTTTTGTATTTTATAGTAAATTTAGTAATTATTCAAATTTTCGATTTGATTTTAATAACTCTATTGTGTGCTATTTCGCCCCATAATTTATTTCTAAAAGGTTTTAGACGAAGATAAAATGTTAAGTTCTAAAAACAGCTGATTATTTCAAGTCGAATATCTCCCAAATTCGAAAAGATCATTATTCTTTCTGCTTGAGACACGTTTCTACCAATTTTTTCAAATTTACATATTATATTTCCAACCGGACACAAATAAAACAATCGAAAAAAGCAACCCAGACAAAAACGAAAGAGGGAATCCGTAAAATTAATGTGAACGCAGAAGAGATGACTTAAGTGAGGCCTGGCCGAGAAGTTGGAAATGGAAATAAAACTGGCCAGAAGAAGCAGTAGTCCGGGCCACAAAAATACACTCCAGACAAAAAGAATTTTATTGGCCTTCACTTAACGCTCATAAATTTGTCTGCCGCGAAATCTGCGAGACGAGACCAGAAAGCGAGGCAGCAGAAATTAAAAGAATATTGTTTATAGTGCCACGCTTCCGCAGATGTCGGGAACTGGTTCGGGAACAGAGTCTGCCTTCCGAGGCGAGAGACGTTTTGTAAGAGTTTCCCATTAAAATATTGCTGCAGAACAGAACCCACCAGATCCCTCCCATTTCTTGTTGCTGCCAGTGCTGCCGCGGGTGAGTGCCGAACTTCACGCACAAATCTGATTAAAACTCGGTCCCAGTTAATGAACCAATACCCCCGCTCCTTAGGGATGCAGTTCGGGAAGTCTGCATCTGGATGGACTGCAGCAGGAAGATGGCCAGCCAGTCGGACGCACAGATAGCGAGGCGTCTAAAAATAGCCACCAGAACCACATGTTGGTCAAGTTTTGCACTGCCTTTACCGGATTTCAATACCCTCGCCGAGGAAGGTACAACATTTGATCTGGAATTTATATTAAAACCATTATCAAACATAGTTTGTTATTTATTTTTCAGTTAGGCTTTAATAAATATGGGTATATTTCTTATGTTTTAACCAACATATTGTTTACAGTTTTATATAAGGTTTTTCCTAAACCAAAAATCCAGAAACCAGATTAAAAAAAAAAAAAGAATTTATTAAATATTATTTTATATATTTTTATTTATAATTTTACTTGTATCTTTACACTTAAACCTAGAAGAAATAATAAGATTTTATTTTAAGTATTCATATTTGAGCTTTTTAAATTATTCATCTTATTTTGTAAGGATTTTCTTTAATTCAAAAGTATTAAAAAAGTATATATTTCTATAGAAATAATATTTTTAAATAGTATATTTGGTAGCGATATTCCTACTCAGTATTTTAACGAAAGTGAAAAAGTGTATTTATTAGTTTCTTATCCCAACTCAAGTTTTTCTTTTCGATGCCCATTTTTTGTTGCCTAGCCCAGCAAATGTTACCCACATCTGTCTCCAGTTTTAGCTGCAGTCCGAGTTCGAAACCCAGTCGCAGTCGCAGTCCCATTCCATCCCATCGAGTCGCCGGTGCAACAGCAACCATCTTTTAATAAATGCGAACGTGATCGCGTTTCGTGCGTCACTGCATGCCCAGACAACTCACACAGGCGCAAATGCTATATGCCATGTACTGGAATATAAAGACCCGACTTTTCGAGGCGTTGCACCTTTGGCAAAGGTGCATTGATCGGGATTGGGATCGCTGTCTGGGCAAGTTTCTTCGGCTCCTCCGACTGCTCCGAGTCCATCTCCCTTTTTGCCGCGGCCATTGGCTGCGCTTATTTTGTGTACTTCTTTTTTTTTTGTTGTTGTTTGTTCCTTCATTTTTGTTCATTTTGTAAAACGAAATTATTATTGTATTATGCACGCGTATACACAGCCAAGTATCCGGAGACAGAGCTTCTTTTCCCTTATTTTTCCTTACATTTTTTTGTTAACGACGCGTGCGTCGAGAGCCGAAAGTGCGTTCAATGAACGCAGCGCGGAGCAACGATCGGGAATGGGAATGGAAGTGGGAATGGCCAGACGATAACGCCGGACATAGGGGGACTGAAAGGGGGAGAGGGAAAATGGGGGCGGCCGATCTGGTGCGACTAACTTGAGTCAGCGGTAATGTATTCGCACGCCCTTGGCATCATCTGGCCATATCATAACTGGCTGATTGGGACTCTTATGAAATCACTACGGGGAGTACAACGATTTTTACTGTATTAAATTGTCAGCAAAGAAAAATATAAATATATAAGTACAAACATCAATAAAATAATAACCCATTCTAAAATATTATTTTAAAATATTATCAAACAAAGAAACGTCATAACGAGGTAAAAACTAGTGACGTTCGCATTTTCAACATGAAAAAGTTTTGATATCAACTTTTGTGACGAATAGTTATTATAAGATACATGAAATAAATAAATAAATACAAAAAAGTAGTTCTAATTTGGTTCTTAAATATTATTTTATTTATTTAAGCAAATAAGTTTAAAATAAAATTTATAAAAAGATAGGAAAGCTGCACAAATTAATTTGGAAATCTGCAAAATTACAATAGTTAATAATATAACTAAAATGCTAAATTTCTTAGTAATTTAAACAGACACAGTAGCCAAGTCACAACTTAAAAGTGCAATTCTTAGAGGAATGTGCACTTGAATTGGAAAAGATAAACCCCAGCTATCAGTGAATGACTCCCGCCAGAGATTCCATAAAAAAAGGCGACACGTGCGCATTGCCATTTGAAATTTGGCTGTGACTGTGCGTTATCGCAATGGCAGGGCAAGTGCAGTTCATCGAACGAAAACCGCTGATTACGACCCAGAATCGAGTCGATGAATGGGCCCGGCAAACTGGATTACAGGGAGTCCAAGCCCAGACCCCGATCCTCAATCAGCGACGACGGGTACCCACAAATCAGTAAATTAAATTAACTCGCTTTCAATCGAGAAACGTTTAAACACTGTCTGATTCTGATGGCATCAATCGTGGCTACGTCGCCGATGATAATAATAAACCAATAAAATTAATACAAATTGCAATTGTTGTGTGTGTTGTGGCTCGATTGGCGCGACACACTTCAATTGGTTTGCTCTTTTCAGCTTTTCTGCTTTGCCTTCCTTCTTTTTTATTTGCCTTTTATTACGCACATATTTATTTAATGCAGGTCTGGCTGTCTAGAGGCCTTCCCCGTAATTCCCGATCCCGTTCTGAACCCCATTTCCCATCCCCCATCCATGTCCATCGACCGTCCTGTCTGTCATGTGTGCGTCTGCCTCGTTGCGTATTTGTTTGTTTGTTTATTTTATTGTTTGCCCTTGTTTTGCTGCTGCTACCGGCTGCAGCTATTGAATGTCTGGATGAACAATATACACCCATATTCAGAGTGCTTCAGAACGGCATGGCATTTAAACTATTGTCATAGGTTCTAAGAACATGTTGAATTGATTGCAGATATTTCAATTTTGTTTAAAGAATGAGTGATTACTTATAAATTTGCAACCCCCGAACAAACCATAATCGCCTTCCATAAGTAATTCATTTTAAAAACCAAAAGAAAAAATAACGCCAAAGTTCAAGCAAACAAAAATGTTTTCCCCCAGCAAAAAGTCTTTCCTGGGAAATTGAAATCAAACAGTTTAGCATAAATGCGCATAAATGTCTAAAGCTGTCATCAAACACATTTCTTATGTTGTCATTTATTTTCGTGGCGTATTAAAATAAATAGCAGAGCTCAAAATACACACACAAAATACACATGCGTGGGAAAATAACTAGGATCCTTTTTTTCGAGTGAGGCCACGTGGTATTTGTTTAGGAGGCAAGAACGCATTTTTGTGGCATAACTTTCGATGAATTCCGGCCGAGTCCCGAAAATTTAACGTCATCAACAGCGACGACGGAGGAAACACGTTGCGTATGCTTTATTTTGCGGGGCCCACACAGGCACGTTACGTATACGCCACCGTCTGCGCCAGACCGGAAGAGAGAGTGGGATGCAGATAGAACGGAAGACAGACAGAGAGAGAGAGAGAGAGAGGGAGAGAGAGCACTCAAATATGCGTAGGCCGCATACATACAAACTCGGCTGTGTCCTTGAGAATCATTCCCAGCAGCACCTTTCCCACATTTTCCGCATTGTAGGCACTCCAAGTTTATCAGCTGCGTTCAGCTCTCAATTGTGAGCCGCCGGCTTTCTCTTTTTTCCCCGCTTTTCCGACCTCCTTCTTCCCTATTTTTCACCCAACTCCCCTCCTATTTTCAGGCTCGGCTTAACGCGTTTGAAGCGCATATCCTGCGTCGTCATCCTCGCTTATGCGTAGTTAGTTGTCTGCCGCTTTTGTGGCCTAAGCTTTTATTTTATTGTGCCACCCGGACTCGAGCTCCTTCCCCAGCTCCCGCTCCTGTTGGTCCTCGTTAATCCCATACTCGTTGTGTCTGGTCCTTCCAAAATGCCGATGCCACAACGCACACACAGACAGACGAACAATTGGAGGGGCAAAATGCGGAGGTGTGGACAAACTGAAGTCTCCGGTGTAATGTAATTTTGTGGAATTCCATGGAAAATAAGGTAGATTTCAGTCACGCTACCTTAGGCTTGGATTATGAAATACATTCAGCTACTTAGGGTATGCAGATGTTTTCCTAATTAATGTTAATTATTTTTAGAAAACATTTTATATAAAAGTAAATCTAATTAAATTAAAACAAAAATGTAGAATGATAAAAAATCAGTTTGAAGGATTTGAAAAATTCCCATTCATTAAAAGTGCCTTATAAATAAATAATTTAATTTTATTATAATTTAATTTAATTTAATAATAAACTAAAGCTTTTTTCTTTAAGCCTGTCGG